GGACAAAGGGCCAGATTCATTATCTTATTTAGCCTCCAGCAATGGGTATAAGGCTACACATCTTTGCATATCTCCATCACATCGGCTCTCGACAACAGACAAAGAGTTGAATTTCTACATATTTTATCTCACTGGCTCTCGAAAACGGACAAAGAGTTAGCGCAACTCGGTGCGATTAACGTGAGGTTGGTAATAGTTGCAACCTCGCGATCAAATGGGATGGCTACCTTCCAACAATAAAAATCCATCAAGTAGCGACTGACGGTCCCTTGGTGGTTGCCTGTGCATGGTGGTGCGGTGCTTATGGGCAATAACAGCCAGAACCACCCTCTGATGGTGCAGGTAGGACAAGAAGAGCCAGCAATTGTCAATGGTATCACACATTGTCGTATCGAAGGCCATGGATGCAGTTGGTGTCCCCCTTCCATGGAGAAAACTCCACCTCTTTCTTTATCACATCCATTGCTATGGTGGAGTCTGGTTTAGTGAGATTTACCCTGTTGCGACTTAGTGGACTAGTGGGAGTGCACTTCCGATTCCACATAGTTCACACTCTAGCCATAGGCAAAGCTAGCCACTATTGTCCTTCTGGCTATAGGGAAGTTATTCATGGCGAACCATGTAATACTTATACAACATGACCAGTAGGCACCCATGTTATTGTTCTTCTATACAAAAGGAAAAAATTACCAATCATCACTAATCCCAACTCATGAGACATATTTCATATGTCTTACATATTAGCAAGTATCATCGCCCAGCGATGTTTGGCTCAGGACAACGATATCACAACACACATCCATACCATTTATTCATTATTTTGGCGCAATGCCGAACATATACAATAGCAATATATTGGCACTCACCATGGCCAACAAACAAATGGGAGTAGTGAACATTCATCCGCATCATCCTTTTCAACACACAAAGGAGTTCCCTTCTTCGCTACATATATTTATATATTTTACGTTTAAATCTCTAAACATATATTCACATGTGTTTTATTGTTATTGCAGATAAATACAAGCCCATGAATCCAAGCTCATGGGAATTATTCGTGATAAATTATGGGAATAATGGTTTGGCAAGCATGGATGGGTGAACGCTGCCCATTTGGTGAAGAAAGGCATTTGCGTCAGCGAAGCTTAATGCTAGTGATGCTGTACAACTTCGCCAAAAAGGGCTGGCTAGCTAAGACGTGAAAGTAAACTTAATTCTCAGAACAGTACCCTTCGATGCTAATTAGAGGCTAGAAATCCCATTAAAAACTAACCAGAGATGTTGTTTTGGTCACTATCAGTAACTTGCAGCCATATTCAATGCAAAGGTGGCAGTACAAGTTCCATAGCTTTGGAAACTGCTAAAAAGATTATTATTTGCTTGCAGAATCTTCCAAAAATATTGCACAAACCTTAGGAGCTCCACCAAAATCTTGTGCAGGTGCTATTTTTGCAAACTACACTCAAGCACCTCCCCAAAAACGGAATTTGTATGGCTGGGGAAGTTACTAGAAATATTCAGTTTCAACTCTTTCAAAACTAGTGAAGCTTCGTTGGAACCACTTGGCAATTTATGATGCCACTGCCAAAGATTACTAATAGTGTCCAAAGCCACTACGAGCTTAACAGCTCATCCAAACCTACCTATTAGCCACTGCACAACTAGAAAATTACAAAAATACCACTAGACACGTATATAATATTTTTCCTATTTTTTGGAAATGGAGGACCCACGACATTTACCAACTTCCTTCCCCGTTTTTCTAGTTTTTACCCCATGCACTAGACCTTCAATCTTCATCCAAAGAATTTTTTGTCTTTAACCCCTCATTCCATACGCTAAAATCACCCAAAAAGAAACAGCTGCTAACTTCATTATTTTCTGCATCTTCAGCATTGCAAAACAATTCCAGATTTGCAGCACGCCATGGCTAGGAGGGGACAGCATGCCTTGGTTCCCGATTTTGGGTGATTCTTCTTAGGCATTAAAGGATCAAGCAGTAAGGTTAGCACCAAAAATGGGAATAAGCACTCCACTCGAAAGCCCCGAAGCGATCATCCTTTCTTCTCCCATCACCACTTTCAAGTTTATTCTTTTTGATCTTGAAGGAACTTTAGAAGAAAGGTTGTTGTATTTCTCATTTATAATATGAGGATTGCACATTACAAAGTGAGGATATTTACTAGAGATAATAGAGGTCGCATTTATTGCCATTATTACCATGTTGCAATAATTTATGTATAAAGGTGACTCTCAAGTTGTAATCTTTGATCCTTGTGCATTCTTTGTCCATGCTGTTCCTATCATGATATCCATCTCCTTATTACTTTTTTGATAATTGAGCAATCGTCCTTGGTTCTTGAGATCCCATCCTTCCTTGTTCAACCCTCTTTTGCCCGACTTGGTTGGAGGATTTGTGTTTAGTGACTTCACTAGAGAATTTGTTGACAACTATCACTGCTAGATAGGATAGGATGGCCCGTGGCGCATAGCCTCTTACACGTGAAACAGGTGTCGCCAAAAGGATCCTCTTATTTCTTCACGGGTGGTATCCAGTCAGCTGCCACGTTTTCTTTGTTGTTGACTCATCATCTTGCATCACCAACACACCCCAACAGTCTTATACACCATACTTATACAAAATTTCAACCATTCATCTCTTTATTTTTAATAATTGAGATTTATTCACATTTATTAAGAATAATTATCTTTTCACCAAAAAAGTCATGACAAATCTCAACCATTGAAAGTGGAAAGATAAACAATTAGGATTTTATGTAAGTATAATGTGTAAAACTTGTATGTAAATGGATCTTTCATATATATATATATAGTTTTGCTAATTTAATTATTATTTGCATGTTAGTGTTACTATATTGTGCGTAATATACAATTATTTATCTAATCAACATGATGTATGAGGCATTCTAATTAGGAACTCTAACCATATGCATGCTAGATACTGCTTACTTGTTATCTTATAAGGTGTATACCGAAACTTATACAAATATGATTTAAAAATTTGTTAAATGTTCTTAGGGGTTGTTTGGAATATTAGCATGTTAGATATTGCTAAGTGTTATCATTAATTATTTAAACACTTTTGTTTATTAAATTAGACCAAACCACTAATTGCTAATTTTAAATGCTATACCAAACAACGTATTATTTTTTCTAATATCTATATAAATATCTCTGTCTAATTATAAAATAAACAATTAATGTGGCCTTAGTACAATTTTTTTTATTAAATTATGTGAGTTGATCTAGCTATGTATAAATAATGACACTAGTTCATATAAGATTCCTACTCCTCTCTCAAGTCTAAATACAGCTAGAATTCACCAATTTCTAGATCGATATATCAGTATGAAAAAACTAAACATTTGTTTGAAATGCTATATTTAGACTAATAATGATCTAGATAGTTTGATCAAAAAAACCTAGTCTAAAACAATTTTAATTCAGACCAACCAATTATCATTCTAAATATTTAACTTTTGAATTTTGAAAAAAAAAATCAATTTTGATTAAAGAAAAACATATTAAACCCAACCACAAATGGTCCAAATATATATGAAATTAAGTGTAAAGATTAAAAAGTCTAAGGGCTAGCAAAAGCTTTTCAAGAAACTATTATTCATACATAAATCAATCTAAATAAAATTGTACTCAAATGTGAAGAATGAAAAGCCTAGTGTTTGGGTTAACGTTTCTTAAAATGTTTTATTTAGACCAAAGTTGGTTTATATATTATTTGTACTCAATTGTAAGGAAAGAAAGATGGGTAGTTTTCTAGCAATGAATAAATAGATATTCCATACCAGTGTTGTCAAAAGCGATCGCTTCATCGCTTGAAACGATGAAGCAAAGCGATCAGAAGCATCATCGCTTCAAAAGTTGCAAAGCGTTCTACTTAAAGGAAGCAATAAAGCGATCTGAAGCGCAAAAAGCGCTCTGAGGTTGAAGCAACCGCTTCTTTAAAAAACCCCCCAAAAAGACCAAAAAACCAAGCAAATAAAAAAATGGAATAACAAAATTAAAGGTTATAATTGGAATTTCAACTCAAATTAGGGCAAAATAAATAATTCCCCAGCCTCCCGACTACCCATCCCTGCTTTCTCTCCGACTTCATCGTCTTCTACCTTCTCCATCTTCTAGAGCCTAAACTCCCTATAACTTTTGGAATTTGGAGTCCAAACTCTCTGTAACTCCGTCTTCTACCTTCATCATCTTTCGAAGCCCAAACCCTTAAACTCTCTGCAACTTCATTGCCTTCTATGGTTTTACCTTCACGGCTTCACCATCTTCCAAAGTCTAAAGTAAACTTTAGCAAATCATCTACAACAAGAGGTAACCCCTTTCTGATTTCTTTTCCTTTTTAATTTGCATATTCTTTTTCCCATCTCTTCTTCTTGTTCTTCTTCATCTTCTTCTTCCCTTATTTCATCATCTGCAGTTGGCATTGACTTCATTGGCATGTTCTGTTCTGTCTCTTATGAGAACCCAAAAGAGAACAATGAGACCCATAGCATGACAAGGGATTTCTAAACTCCAGGAAAGCCAAATCAGGTTTATAATAAGACCTTAACCCGTTGTTTATGTCGCAACAAGAACCAAAGGTAAAAACCTTGAGCTGTTGTCTATGACGCAACAAGAACAAGAGGTATCAAGTCAGTTGACGCCACACCCTCGAACGATTAAGAACAAGAATGATAAGTCAGGTTAGAATGCCACAAGAATAATCTTGATAAGTTCTGTAAAGTTCTGAAACAAACCAAAGAGAAAAGCCTCTCAAAATCTCATATTCAATAGCCTCCCAATTAGGGTTACAAGCACCTTTAAATAGGGAAAAGTAATTCTAATCAGAATAGGAAACTAACACCATAAGCCCTAATCATAATAACCACAAATTGGGCCTTAATTAAATGAATGTTAAATGAATGTTCAACCCAAAATAATATAAAAAACGTGAAAATCACTAAAAGTAGCCTAAAGTAACATGAAATATCAGTTTGTTACAAATTGCAACAGAATTGCGAGATTGATGCAGACTATGTAATTTAGCATAAATGACCTCAATTAAGCTTCTCTTGAACTTGAATGATGTTTATCATGCCTTGATAATTATCCAAGCTTCAATTCACTTCTTGCATGTTGTTATCAACCCAGATCTGCTCAATAAGGCCATTTAAAGCTTCTCGCATCTTCCTAGCTTTAGCTCTTGTGATTGGACCTCTTGGAATGTGTAATGGATCTCTTGACGTGGTACATGTGGGGTCATCTTGATTCCCATCATTCCTTCTCTCCTCAAAAGGATTTGTCCTCAACTCGTCACCTACATCAAAAGGAGAAAGATCAAAAACATTAAAAATAGCACTAACATTGTACTCACTAGGAAGCTCCAACTTGTATGCATTGTTGTTTATCCTTGCAATCACTTGAAATGGTACATTGCCTCTTGGCTGCAACTTAGAACACCTTTGTGCAGGGAATCACTCCTTCCACATATGCACCCAAACCCAATCTCCAGGTTCAAACACAACTTTCTTGTGCCCTTTGTTGGCTTGATTTACATATTGCTCAGTTCGTCGCTCTATGTTTTGTTGCACCCTCTCATGTAGTTGCTTAACCACTTCAGCTTTCTTTTTCTCATCCAAACTAGCTTGTTCATCAATAGGTAATGGCAATAAATCCAAAGGAGTGAGTGGATTAAAACCATATGCAACCTCAAATGGTGAACAGTTAGTTGCTAAATAAATGCTCTAGTTATAAGCTAATTCAACGTGAAACAAACACTCTTCCCAATTCTTCAAGTTCTTCTAAATAATAGATCGCAATAAGGTTGACAACGTCCTATTAACCATTTCTGTTCGTCCATCAGCTGAAACAAAATACCCTAAAAAGACAATCTGATTTGTGCAAAAGGAATACTTTTTAAGGTTAACAAACAACTTTTCTTTTCTCAAAAGCTTTAATACCATTCGTAGATGCTCAATATGATCAGTTAAACTCTGACTATATATCAGAATGTCATCAAAATAAACAGCCACAAATTTGCCAATGAAAGCACGCAAGACATGATTCATTAATCGCATGAATGTACTAGGTGCATTAGTTAATCCAAATGGCATAACTAACCACTTATATAAACCATGTTTCGTTTTAAAGGCTGTTTTCCATTCATCTCCTTCCTTCATCCTAATCTGATGATATCCACTCTTTAAATCAATTTTAGTGAATATGCAAGAACCATGCAGTTCATTTAACATGTCATCTAATCTAGGAATAGGGTGACGATACTTTACAGTGATTTTGTTGATAGCATGACAATCAACGCACATACGCCAACTCCCATCCTTCTTAGGCACAAGTAACATTGGAACTGCACATGGACTCATGCTTTCTCTCACATGCCCCTTCTTCATGAGTTCTTCAACTTGCTTTTGAAGTTTTTTTGTCTCATTGGGGTTGCTTCGATATGCTAGTCGGTTTGGAATTGTTGCACCTATAATGAAGTCAATTTGATGCTCAATTCCTCTTGTTGGTGGTAAACCATTAGGGATGTCTTCTGGAAACACGTCCTTGAAGTCCTATAAAAGAGATTTAACAACACTAGGCAAAGAATCATTAAGTTCGTTAGTGTTGAGATAAGCATCTTTATACAGAAGCACAAACATAGGCTGCTTTGCAAAGAACGCAGCCTTGACATCACTTTCTTTTGCATAAACACACTGATTTTCTCTCTTTGTTTTCAACACTCTCAATCTTTTATCTCTTTTTGGACTCTTTTTCTATTGTTTCGCCTTTGTTTTTCATACCTTCAAGCTCACTCTCATTTCTCAGCTCACTCTCTTTTTTTACTCTCAATTGATCCTCATAAACCTACCTTGGACTCAATGGTGTAAGAGTAATTGTTTTCCCTTCCATGATGAACAAATAGAAATTTTTGAAGCCATCATGTGTTCCTCTCCTATCATATTGCCATGATCTCCCTAAAAGAAAATGTCCAGCATGCATAGGAACCACGTCGCACAGTACCTCATCCTTATATCTTCCGATAGAGAATGAAACTAGAACTTGCTTATTTACCTTAATTTCTCCACAATCATTTAACCATTGCAGCTTATATGGCCTTGGATGCTTCTTCATAGGTAAATTAAGTTTTTCAACCAAAACAGTGCTAGCTACATTAGTACAACTGCCACCATCAATAATCACACTACATACCTTATTTTTGATATGGCACCTCGTGTGAAATATGTTGTCGCATTGTACTTCATCATCTTCTTTGGCTTGCACATTCAAAGCACACCTAGTGACAAGCAGTTCTCTATCAACAACATATTCCATGCCATCATCAGCATCTTCCAATGGTGGCATAGAGTCATCATCAGATTCACCCTCTGTTTCAATTGCTCCATCCTCTTTCAGGATCATCGTGTGCTTATTAGGGCATTGCGATGCAATATGCCCTCTTCCCAAGCATCGAAAACGCTTAATGTCTCGGTTTCTACCTTGCATACTGTCAATTTTACTCTTCTCACTGCTGCCAACGTCTTTTGACTTAGATGCTAAAGTTTTAGGCTTAAAAGTAGAATTTTCTTCCTTCTTGCTCCAATTTGGTTTCAAAGAAAATGAGGAACCTGGATTTTGCCCAGTTATAGTGGTGGCACCTTTACGCTTGAGTTGCCTTTTTACTTTCATTGCCATGTGCACCATATCCTCTAATTCAACATAATGCTGCAGTTCCACCACATTAGCTATATCACAATTTAAACCATGCAGAAACCGTGCCATTGTTGCTTTTCTACCCTCTTCAACATTCGCTCTAACCATTGCGATTTCCATCTCCTTGTGATAATCCTCAACGCTTTTGGACCCTTGAGTAAGGCCTGTAATCGTTGATAGAGATCGCGGTAGTAATGACTAGGAACAAACCGTTTTCTCATCACAGCCTTCATCTCTTCCCAAGTGTCAACAGGACCTCTCGATTTCTACGTCGACTAAGCACAAGCTGATCCCACCACACTACAGCGTAATCAATAAATTCCACCGCTGCTAGTTTCACCTTTTTCTCCTCAGAATAGTTATGGAAATCAAACACCAATTCCACCTTCTTTTCCCACGCCAATTACACATCTGGATCATTTTTGCCTTAAAATGGAGGAATCTTCATCTTGATGCTGCCTAAGTCATGATCTTGCCGATCTCCCCACTTTGCCAGATTTTGGTCTCCTTTGTTAAATCTATATCTTTGACCCCCTTTACCTTTCATAAATCTGTCCATGCTGAAATTTGAGTTCTGGGCATCATCGTTGAATGCATCTTCATCATTGTCATCAAGATCATGATTATGCAAATTTGGACTACCATTCTGTATTTGGTATAACTTGGCAATGGCTGCATCTTGCTTCTCCATTTTGTCTATAATTTCACCAAACATGATGTCTAGCCTCTGAAATTGTTGTTGCATAGCTTTGAGCATGAAGGAATCATCCACTTGGTGTTTTCTATCATCACCGCTTGACATGATTGAAACCTGCAAGGAATGTTAGAAATAGAAAATAAAAGGACCTCACAACACTCCCTTACGTGTTTCACTCCACTCTCTCACAGAATGGCACTTAACACGTGTTTCGCACACTGTAGAACTTGGCTTTTCTCTCAAATGTTGCTCACACCTCTTGCCTTTTTCCCTCACTCAACTTTCCTCTTTCAGTTCCTTATTGAACTAAACAAGCTCAATTCAAGTTATTTTGCAGCAATCTAACTCCAACAAATCCGCAAAAGTTAAAGGAAATAGAAAGACACAAAGGAACAACCAAGAAAAGCAATAAAAGAACCAACCTAAACAAATTAAAACGAACAGATCAGTTCAAGCACTTCCTAGTAGGAATTGACTTGACTATTCCTTAATGTAGTAGGATTCCTAACTTAGGAAGGAATAAACAAAATTGCTATCTCCTTGTTTGAATAGAACTCAAAGAGAATTTCCAACTCCTTATTGGAGTAGGATTCCTTCTTCTTTAAGGATTTGGCCATAGATTTCTTCTCTATATAAGGAATTC